AGATGACTAGAAGTGTTCTGCCCATTGTCTCATTTGCCAGTGAGTCACAAATCCATCCCTCTCCGCTGTAGTCTCACTAACCGCCGACCATTTTGAACCAGTTTACTTAATAAATCTAAATAACTGTCTACTGTTGCCCGTCACCGCTGTCTTTTCCATCTCTTTAACCCTCTCTGCCCACCACTGTTTGAAATCATTGCGTAAACCTTCTCTCAGTTTACAACTGAGTTGCTTCCGTTTCTCATTATATTCCCAATCTTCAGGGGTGCATTTGTGTGCATCCATTAATTTGAAAGAAGCTGTTGAGACCTGCCAGACCTTTTTAATCCATTTCCGAGAGTCACTTGTGGACTGAACATGGCGCCAAGTTACTTCTGGATGAGTGTTGTTCTGTTTCTATAACTTTCTAGCCAGTTTCTGACTGAAAGCAGCATTAGTGCTCTCATCATCAAGCTGCACTTGCAATGGCCTTGTCGCTAAAGTTTACTTATGTCAGTTGAGATGCAAACATACACTTAAAACAACGCTAGGTCACTATCCGAAGAAGTGCCCTAAAAGCTGTGCTAGTCTTCCACTGACCCTCTCCAGCGATAACTGATAGAAACATGGTCTATCTGTGTCCACTGCCGATTTGCAGTCAGTGGACACCACGTCAGACAACGCCTCCTTTTTTGTCTCAAGTTCACATTGACCAGGGATAATTGGTTATCTGAGGATAGTTGTATTAGGCAATTACCATTATCTGTTCGCTTGGTGGGGGTTCCAGAAGCGTCACCTAGTTGAAATTTTACTTGACCCAGCCTACCAACTTGTATATTGGAACAACCTTCAACAACTACCATGTCTGAAAGCCTTGCTTTCGGTAGGAGGCTAGACAGTTTTCTCTAGAACTCATCCTTCACTTTTTCCGAACCACAGCCAGCGAAAGCTTAAACAGAGATTACAAAAACATAACGGCAAGTTTCACTGTTCTTTTCAGTCCTCACTATTCCGTTCAATAAAACAGCACATACCAAACTGTAAACTGGAATGCAGTCGAGCAGTGCACTTTCTACTTGCAAGGGCGCGAGAACCAGCTATCGAATCTTCAGAAACTCGAAGGGTGAACTTTGCGGATTTTCCACATTGGCCAGGTAAAGTTAAGTGAATAGCCACACTTTGGCTCTCTATGTGTTTTACAAACACAGCACACACCCTTGGCCCGAGTTGCTGGTTGACCAAGTTGACGGAGGGTGTAGACACTGAAAGCCCCAATGTGTACTTTGGCGCGTGGTTTCAGAGACCAAGGATGTTGTTTCATGAACTCAAGTCAGTGTGGAGAGCTGGAAGAAATCCTTTGGTTTTAGTTTTGATTATTGACAGAGAGAAGCGAAGGAAGTTCTGAAGTTAAGAATACGGAAGACGGATAGTGATCTTTGGGAACTTAAGTGCTATCAGAGTTGTGACAGTAGCTGACACTTTCCGGCTACCCACATCATGGGAAACAACTTACTAAGGTACCTGGAAGAGAAGGGTTAGTGTTCGACCGCAGAGCTTGATGGACATCTGCTTGGGGCCGGTCACACAGCCTCGTTATAAATTTTAGAATTTGGTTTGGTAGTTTTGAAGTTGTTTTCGAATCCAGGTTGCCAGCACTGGGATGTAGCAGGGTAAAGGAGGAGTGTGCCATTTTTAGGGTCAAACATTTCTAACTTTTACTACGCATAGAGAAGACAGCTTCAAAGTGGCACTGCTGGTCATTCACTTGAAGCACCTTACCGCAGTCACACTCCCGCCCACCCACCAGTAAGACTTCGCCCTCAGATTCCCATCACAAGGTAGCCACTCACACTATAACAGTAAGTGCGTTTTGCTCAACCACTACCTGACAGACCTATCTGGCAAGATAGGGCCTCAGAAGAATACACACTCTACAGACTCTTCTACATCAAATATGTTGCTTGTAGACCTTTTGGATATAATGGACTGCATAGTCGGTGAAGACTGAACTGTCGAAGAGCGGGCATCTATTGAGAACGCCTAGAATATACTTGGAATTGTATTCTAACAGCCAAAAATCCCATTCATTTAATGGTCAAACCCACAAAGACCCTCTCACATAGCTCCTTGTAGTTTGATAAGGATCACTAAAAACTAATAACGTGGAGGAAACGTTCATGGAAGTTGTTTTAGAAACTGGATTGGAATCATATAACACCGAGAACTGTAAGGTCCAAAAACTATGCAAAACTTTTACTAAATGGTCTCTACTATCATACGAGAAACAGCTCATAAAACTGCTTTAAAGGACTGTTCACATTTATTCGAAGGACGGAAATAAAGGTAGAACTCCCTTTCCGGTGACGGATGAAGGGTAATATGGCTTGGTGGGAGCTAACTCGATCAAAATTGAGTGCTTATCAGGATATCTTAAAAAATTCTTCGTACGTCCAGATTCTGACGTGCTCAACAGTAGTATCAATGTTGACCCGTCAATGTGCCCAGTACGCATCGCATGAAACAGTCTTATAGTTTCTTTCCCTTGGTTCTGATGATTTGCACCTTAGATTATCATCGCTAGCAAACATTTTTGCCGAGCCAGCTACTAATCTTTGCAATGTATTCTTATCCCAGACTTGTCACCCTGGAGACCGGAAAGATGCCATATCCAGCCCAGGTTCTAAGGTTGTTAATCGTTAGTTAGTATTTAATCATTACTCTATGAGCTTAATTGGCATATTCATCATGGTTTTCTAAAATATAATTCGTAATATGCTTAACCATACTCGACTAAATAATCTTTGTCACCACAGCAACAGTTTTCGTACTAAAGACTGTTTGACAAGCTTCATCGAAAGAGAGAAATGGGTTGCAGTCTGTGGTAGAAAATTACTAATAAATCTAGTGTTCAGACTTCAGTAGGTCTTGTGACAAGATGTCTTTTGAAAAACTAGCAGAAAAACTACTCTTTTGAGCTTAGGTTCTACACTACAAGTTTAGATCAAGGAATTTCTGTAAGGTAGGAAGAAAAAAGTGAGGGTAAGTGAGAGGCCATCTAGGTGAGAACATGTGAAGAGTAGAGTTCCTCAATCAGTAATGCTAGGTCTCCTCATTTTCTTGTTATATGCGAATTAATTATAGCACGTGCTCAACTCTTCGGTGCTGTTACATGCCGATGATGTAAACGTCCAAAGAGTCGTACGTAGTGACGACTATGGGTACACTCTTCAAGCACATTTGAAGGAACTGGCAGGTTAGCCAAAACGTTTTTGTCTGGGAATTAACTGTTAAAAGTGCAATAATAAACATCAGTTGTAATTATTGCTATGAGAATTTCGTTGATCGTAAACCACTATTCCTAGTTTGAGAATTAAAAGACTTAGCTTCGATCAAAAACCATGATCTGATCTGATCTTATCCCCATACTGCAACGTAGTTGCAGAGAAAGGTTTTCATGTTCTATGGTCTATATGCAGACCTTTCGAAAGTGTTAACTAGGATATGTAAGGAAAACTATCCTAAGTGTTAGACCTCAACTAAAATACTGAATTTAGTCAACCAGTCCATACACAAAATAGGATATCCACTTACTTAAGTGTATTCAAAGAGTAGGCATTAAGCTTGTGGTCGACCTTTCCAATCTGTCCTATAAGAAACGATTAGATCTACTGAATTTATTCCCACTGCCTCCTGGTAGGAAAAGGACTGACTTTATATGGCATTCCGTATCCTAAAGAATGACCTCGGTACTGTTATATCTTATCCTTCCTCTCTTGCTAATATTGATTATTTTTCATGCCATAACAAGAAAATCCATAAGCTGGGATCAGATGAATTTAACGTAAACTTAATTTTGGCCTATCGGGTGGTCAACGGCTGGAACTCCTTATCTCAGGCATTTAGTATCAGCTTCTTCGGTGGAGGCCTTCAAGGAAAATTCAGATTTTAACATAGATATCTACTGAAAGTATTGATAATACAACTGACCTGATGTTCTTATTGCTGAAGATTTCAATCAAAAGATTCTCCGGGAACATAATCTGAGCAATAGACGGCTCTTAAAATGAAATGAAATTATAGACAGCCATCCACAGGAGTATATGGGTTAAAGTTGGTTTAACCCTTCCATCGGAACATGCATAACTGGGAAACGCTAACAATAGGTACAGTAGATTCAGCCAATTTAAAGGTTTCTTCTAGCTACCTACATTTCACAAGCGCATTTAGTACAGTTGAAATGCCTTTTAAACGTGGAAAGGCTGGCTGTTTCAAGGTGATTCGACTGGTCATTGTGACCTAAGCGAAATAATGGGAAGCGATGGTAAGTAGAGGCTTCCAACCTACCAATGAAAATGTTAACAGAAACACTGTAGTATGATTCCAGTTGAAACTCTACACTTGACTGTACGTGAGAAAGATAAATTTTAAAATGAGGAAAACTGGCACTATTTGCCATAAAATGTATGAACCCAAACAGCAAGCGGAGATCACTTGCTTACGTCACACACTACATAAACTGTTCAAAGTCAATCATGTCCAAGGATTTCTTCAAAACTCCGCTAACTTGGGATACAATGTTCCATGAGACTTATTTCTATGTGACAGATTCACATATTCACCATAAAATATTTATTTCAGGCATCATATGAGGTAAAACCGAGGGAGTTCATGAATACTTCTCAGCTGGAGAATATAGCTTTTACGTGCTTCTCGTGAAATCTGTGAGCGCACCCACTAACTTTCGAGCATATCCTCAAGTGTTTTTCGACTTAAACTTTCCAATTTGTAAAGCACTCTCTCGCTGCTGAAAGTTAACTTTCAACAGCCGACGCAAACTCTTAGACTTAGTAATTACTAAGCCTAAAGCATTTTGGCCTTTAAGAATGGGGCTAGAGTGCTTAGCAGAAAATTATTCAAAAAACTTTAAGTACACCCATATTTTTCGACTGTTTTCTAACCTGACAAAATTTATTAATTTTTGATCAACGCATATAATTTGTTTGATATGCAAAAAAACTTACGTTTAGACGTTGAGCAAACTGTAATATCTTGTCTTCCTGCGTCATGCCATTTGACTGACTGGCAGCAGCGATAATGCAATAAAAACTTCGAAAAGCTGGTCAGTTGGTGTAGAAAAACACATTCAAAATCCAATATGTCTTTCGAATCTGATCTTAGCTGATTAACTGAACAGCACTGACATTCCGATTTCACAAAATGATGCGAGCATAGCAGGGAAAGCCATTCGCTTCCTGTAGCCCTGATGAAACTGTCGAAATTTTGTTGTTCTCGGCGGATGCATAGTTTTTTTATAACTGGCATGCTGCTTGGATCTTCTAGTGCCACTCTGTTGGACAGTCGTTCATAATAGCCAAAGGGGGAACAGTTTCAAGAAAAAAACCGAGGGTAAACGATTTCTTCAGCTGTCACATAAGGAAGAAAAAGATAAATTAGTATGTATTGTGGTGGCGATAGCAATAAAAATACAGCTGGTGAGACAAAGCATGAAAATAGTCAGCAAGGACAGGTGGGTCAAAGTTATACGGTCTAAGACTAACCCACGTAATTAACAATAGTAGCGGAAATGGGGGTGGATATAGGAACAAAAACAGAAAAATTATTACAGCGATATCAGTTTATTCCCTTAAGTAGGTAAGGGAAATGTGTGTTCTTTTCTGCAGCTGTTTAACTTTATCTGGATCTTTAAGCTGATGCAGCTATGAATATACAAGCTGAGAACAAATTTTCGTGGCCCGAGATCCTTAAAACGGAAAAAAGTGTCCTCATTTGGGTGACTGTCTTCGGATTCCAACAAAAACTGTGGAAGTAGCCTATGCTCTATGTTAGTTGTTGAAGTAAACTAAGCTCGTCGCAGTCTTGCCAGTAACCATCAGTAGTTCACATACTCGTGGTACCGAATGATACAAAGGCTATCATTTCACAGCCGACCTACCAAAAACCCACTTTAAGGCCATGCAACGACCTTTCTTCGCACTGCTCTGGCGTCTCTGAATGAGAATGGCACATGTCATTATATGTAGCGTTGTAAAATGTTTATGTGACCTTACAGTTCGCTAGCACATGAAGCCTGTACAGAGCATGAAGGGGCTTGGCATCTAGTTCCATTGACATGTGTTGTTCTACATAGGCCCTCACGGTCCCACTGATAAATTCTTATTGGTACCCATATTTTGTACCGGCAACAGCCTAGTATATTGCAGTGTGCACTTAGAAAAGTTGGACCATTAAAAAACAGTGAGTGACTTTCTGCCATACAAAGATCAGAGAAAACCATCATCAAACGTCCCTTTAGATACAAGGTCACCCAACTCAGTCAACAAATGTCATTCAGTGGTTTGTCGCTCCTCAACAAATTTTCTAGGCTGACAGCCCTTCATAACCCTCTCATGACAACATAAAAGGAAGCGGGTATCTTTGAAAGACAGCAGACACAAATAACTGGTCGGAATGGCCAATGAGACCCTGGAAATCGTGCCATCCATGCCTGGATACTCTGTTGACATTGGAGTGATGCGGAATCAGTTTGTTGCTTCAGATGGTCCATGTGGCAACCGAATGTGTCCAAGACATATGTCGCCGCAAACCTGCCGAAACCTCTCTGGAAGCCGCCGACAGACGGATCGGTGGCAACATCAGGAGGTAACACGCCACAGAAGTCGGGAACGAAATGAAAGGATAAGTGTGAATGCACTAATTCTTGCCCTTTGACCAGAGATCTACGGGTTTTCACGAGAGTTGTTATAATGACCAACAGGAAAAATTCCACTGCTTGAGCTACTTGGACTTTTCCATCATTAGTCAGGTCAACGCGCGAACTACAGTAGCTGAGAGAAAAGGCTCAGATCCATTGTCCTATCCTCCAATGGTTTTCACCGCATCTTTAGAACCCTCTCTATGACTTATCTTTCGACATTCGGCGGGGAACCTTATCCCTCTCCTGGGACAGTGGTGCAATGAAGTTTATAGAGTTCTGAGGTTGTATGTCGGTCTCAGGAAGAGTCCCGCGGCGAAGGCACTCAGGCGTTTGCGCATGGAGTAAGGCGCTGCATATGCTCTTGAAAGTCTCCTGGGTGACTGAAACTAAAGTCTGGCTTTTTGGCTGGCAATAACCTGAGGTCTTCCCCAGTGGCTAAGGGCTAAAGCTATGTACTTCAGACAAACTAGGATACCTTCTGGGAGTCAGGGATATGGAACAATATGGTACGGTATCTATGCTGGTTATGTGTCAGTCCGTTGCTTCCAGGTGGATCTTTTGTAGTATCACATTGAACAGTCCTGTATCCATTGGAGCGAAGCTGACTGTTTAAGTTTCAGGTTATAGGCACTACCAGAAAGTAAATTTTTCAATTCCTTATCTTCCTCTTAATTTGCCTCTGAACCCTTAAAATCTTCATTGGATTGATGAACAGTGCTTGTATTAATTCTAGACGGAGCGTCCATCACGCAGTTTCGTGTCTTGAATCGCTCGTAAATTGCAATACAAATTAAAAGTGGCAGATTTCGCTTGACGATTACTTATCAGGCTTTGCAATTGGCGCACCGATTAAAAGCTTGTGATCCATGTAGACCGTTAGTGTCCCAACGTTATGGAAGTGTTTGGTAGCTAAAAAGATAGCCAGCGGCTCCCGGCCATAAGTTGAATACTGTATTTCAGGCGTAGAAGGGCGTCATGAAAGCAGTACCATTGGTTGACAGTGATTTTCCACCAACTGACTGTATGCTTTGCCCACAGCTTCATCTGAAGCATCTATCGTGAGCGGTAATGGTCCCCTGACGTCGCCGTATTTTAGAAGTGTAGCTTCGGCCAAGGCTGCTTTCGACTTGTCCAGAAGTCTTATGATTTCATTTTGGTCTGTTTACTAGAGATATCACAGTGAAACAGTAGCATTTACTGGATAACATTTCACTATGTGATATCTCTAATAAAAAGACTAAAATGGAATTACAGTCGACCGCAGTACCCAAGTTTTGTCTCTTAGGATTTCCCCTCAAGACATTAGTCATTGGTTGCATATGTCGTACATAATATGGCATGAATCCACGACAAAAATTAATTAAGCCAAAAAAACCTAGTTGCATCATGGTGGTGGGTAGTGAGTCTTAGTTGGCAGTGTCCAGTTGTTTTGGCAATGGTGATATTCCTTCTTTAATAACCATGTGTCCCAGGAATTCGATGGTTTCAACCCCGAAAACGCATTCACATTGACCTAATGCCATGCCGTGGTAGTGCAATTTTTTCGAAAACTCCTCGTGTGTGATTCTTGTGAATGCATATCCAGGCTGGTGGTCAGCAACCATTAAAGTAGACTTAGGTAAATCGTCAATCTTGCAGAAGATCATCCATATGCTGTTGGAAAGTTTTTACGGCATTCCGAAGGCCAAAGGGCACCCGCAGAAACTCTTATAAACCAAGTAGAGTGGTGATGACCGCTCCTGAAGTGACCTCTTTGGTCACAGGAATATTGTGATACGGAGGCGCCAGGTCGACTCTGGTGAATGTGGTGACACTTCAAAAACAGTCGGCCAAGTCTTGAATGTTAGGTAGTGAATGCCTGTCTAGAACAGTCTGTTTGTGTAGTGCTCTGTAACTGCCCCATATCTACCAGTCTGATAGACTTGCATTTGCATGCCGTACGTAATCGCGAAGCCCACTGGCCTTTGGTTGGTAAAATGATGCCTAACTGGAGCACGTGAGCGAATTCGGCTGTGGCGATTTTCGTTTTATCTGGTGTCAGTTTCTGGGGTCTTGTGAATACAGAAGAACTTTTTGGCTTCACGCCGTGTGTCGCCTTAGGACTCGCGTGAGAAGTCTGTGTGTAAGGTGACGTCGGGTTTGGGAAGTCCACAAATATTAGAAGAGACTGCACCAGGTTAAAATATTTGATAGAACTGGCTTTATCCATCTTGTAACTTGAAGCTTCCAGCAGCATTAACTTTTGCCTTTTTTGTCCACTAAAAACTCATACCCCTTCAAAACATCTATGTTCAGAATCTAGGTCTACCGTGGTGAAAACCCGGGGAAATTACCGTTTAAATCCGAGAGCAAGGGTTATGGCTTTTCGTTTGAACGTCAACAGTTATGTTTCACTGGCGTCCATAAAGTGGCTACAGACTCTTGACGTCCATGATCGACCCCGTTTTGTGAGATGGCACCAAAGTGGGTACCGTATCTACCAAGAATTCTATGCCAGACCTTCTGTGTGTGACGGAATAGGCGGCTGTTCGGGTACGCCTCCTCAGTAGTCGCTACATGAGGAGTCGTCTGCTTCCCTGTTTGCCAAAGGATTACTTAGGCCAGGGGCATGGTTCCCTACGTTAGACTATGCGCCGTACTTCCAGCGACACCGACAAGGTTGTCCGGATTTTCGAAACCGCCCAGGTCTACTTCCTGACCCATGTCTAATCGATGATACGCCACTTTGGCCACGTCTCAGCTAGATTCGAGCCACAGCGTCCGTTATTGCTTTCTCGTTGGCCGCCAAGTCTAAAATAGGGGCTTCCTTAGATGAACTTTGACTGGTGCAATGTACCGCATGGCCGCTACGAGCTGTACCCCACTCTATATTGCCGTCTGCTGTTCGAGCTAGTCCTAGAAGTGTGGTTTTTGGGTACCGTGCGTCAACTGTATCTTGGATATGATGCTGCAGCGCCTGGATCCAATATGCCTTGACTTTGGCTTCTCCGACAAAACTATCTCCCAACATCTCTTGCAAGTGCCTCAAAAACTGGGATGGTGACCTATCTCTCAGCATCTCCCACTGTAACGGACGTTAGATGCCTTGGCTACCTGATACTAGTGGATCGCCTATTATCTCACCCTTGAGCGTGGAATGAGCCTGTTATTCTGGCGTGCTACGTATGAGGTCACCAGTCCCTTTGCTAAGTGTGAATGAAAGCGTGGAGCATAAGTCCCTGTATTGTAGTTTCTCTGAATTTATGCTATGACAGTCGAAGAAGTGCCCTAGTTGAGAGAACCATAATCCTGAGTCTTGATTGTGACGGTCTAGCGGTTGGCTCTTAGAAGCCACTGAAGGTCCACTTCGGATGGAACAGACTCTCACGATATCGCGATGAGCATGGGTGAGGCGAGACATT